CCGGTGACCCAGGGCAGGACCGGGCAGGGGAGCGAGTCGCGGCCGTGAGCGCTCTCTGCTTGGGCCGGTTTAACTTCTTTTTTGTTCGTGAAAGAGAAAGCAACAGGTTTCTGCCAGACTGAGGTCTTGCACGGTTTTTTTTCTCCGCTAAATCACTTGGAAATGAAGGTGTCTCCCTAGAGCGTGGCAGGGTTTTGATTTCAGTAGCAACTCGTGCCACGACAGGTGTCGCAGACCCAGCTTGAGGCAGATGGCGAGACGCCTATCAAAAGGGAATGTCGTATGGCAGGATTAAAGCATGTGCTGTGGCAGTGCGAGCTGAAGAGACAACAATCAGCTGAGCTGTTGGAAAAGTATCTGCCCTAAACAAACTGCTCAGGCGTGAGCAAATACTTCTTGCCACATGCCAGCCCCCCGCTTGATTTTTCTACGGTGACAAACCATTTTTGGTGTTTTAACGCTACAGCACTCTACAACCCTTAGGAGCTTCCAGCTCTTCTGCAATGAGAAGGATTTGAAGTAATTGGCAGAATGCTGAAAGAGGGACTTTAAAAGACCAGCAGAAATATCAAAGCTGTAACACCTGCCATGCTCGCTTCCTACCAGTAAATAAAGTGATCAGCAGGCCCAGGGCTGAAGACTTCTGTTAACTGTTGCAACCAGGTCTTTTGTCAGTGCCCGAGCAGTGCTTGCAGTGCACTTTGTAGGTGGGGACCTGTGTTGCAATCCGGCCCTGTTCACTAGAAAAAAGATTTTGCAAGGTCTTCTCCTGGAGGGAGAAAAAAATCCCAAACCAGGTGGCAGATTCCATTTCCAAGCTCATTTGAAAGAGCATCATCCGAGCAGAGGAAAATTCAAAAGCAACGGCGCAAGCGAAGAGCAATCAATTAAAATACAAATTCTCCGTTTACTGAACCAGTACAGCACCTCCAGCATCTCTGCTCCCTCCCCGCGCCTCCTCTCTTAGCTAAGAGCAGCAGTTCTCGTGCTGGGACACTTCAGAATGACATTAGATTTGGCCTCTATCCTCTTAATGTCCCACTGAAAATTGTTTAGCTGACTTCCTTCCAAGATGCTAATCAGATTTACAATAAGCAAATCAGGTACAATTAAAGGCATTATCAGATCCCCCAAACCTACCACATACCATCTTTATCATCTGGTGTAGGAATACATACACCCAAAGCTCAGTCTTTCCTCCACACTGCAGTGAGTCATTTTTGAAAGGCCATAATTATAAAATTTCCATTCTCCCTCTGCATCTACTCATTGCACAGGAAAAGAAGAACAAGCTAAAGCAACCTTAGGTGACTTATAGATTACTCAAACCTGAAATGCTAAAGTTTTGTCTTTTTTTTTATTATTATTTTAGGTAATTCCAAAGCACAAGTTTGTCCTTGTGAAATTCGATACACAATATCCATATGGTGAGAAACAAGATGAGTTTAAAAAGCTGGCAGAGAGCTCAGGCTCCAGTGACGATCTTCTGGTGGCGGAAGTGGGAATATCAGGTGAGGAACTCTGGACAGATTAGTACAGTATGGGTTGGTGTGGAGGAAATAAAATTCACTGCAGTTTCTGAAGAAAACAGGCTCTGAGGTAGTTCTGATAGTGAGAAATGAGATGGGCCTGGTGCTGCCAGACCAAAGCACTTGCTCTGGCTGGTCGCTGAGCTCTGCCGCTCTGCCTCCCGCGGCGAGCGTAGGAGTGCCGCTTATCTCCTTTTGGCTGGTTAATGAAGCAAGTCAGCCCACGCTGCTAAACTGGATGCCACCCTCCTCATTCATGACACTTTTTGTCTTTTGGGTTTTTTTCTTTCTTTGCTGAGAGAAACCTTTTCATCCATTTCTAGGGAACAGGCCTTAAAAGAATCATGCTTTAGCCACAAGCCTGGTCAAACAAAGCAAACGTGGTATGATTAATTCATTGTAGCAAACCCTCCGTTTATTGCTGGTAAAGCACAGAAAGTGGTCGTTGCGCTACAGCTGGTGTAACTTGATGTTCTTTTTAATCGCGCTACAGCTGGTGTAACTTGATGTTCTTGTAATTGGCTTTAAGAGAAAAGCAGTGAAGAATGGATCACTGTCACCTTACTCACTACTCTTGCTTTGTAGGTAGAATTAAGAATTTAAGCTTACAGGAATTGTCTAACTGGGAGGTTTCACCCATGCTGACATGTCTAAACACACATGGATTTAGCTAAGTAGCATAGTTGAAATCTCTTTAAGTTATGTTTTCTGTCCTCAAGAATAAATGCAATTTATGTAAGATGAGAAAACATATTGTAGCTTGGCATGCTGTCAGAACTAAAATGTATAAGTGTACACTCTCTGCACATAGATCAGGAAAAAAAAATCCATTTAACTGTAAAATCAAATACAATCAATGGATAGCGCAAAACAAGGAAAAAAATGGCTATTAATTTCCCATAAGGAGGATAGGGTTTGTACGTAGAGGTCCTGCCGATGTCTTATGCTATCACAGGCACAGCAGAGCACCATTAGAATCTTGTATCTTTCTTTGGAAAACCTACTGATGGTTTGCCTTGCAGAAGTGATTTTCTGGGGTGTTTTTGTTTCAGTGTGTGGCATTTCCTGGCAAAGAGATTATTAGGAAGTGTTGAAACTCCGGAGACAAATATTTGTCAGTTTGTGTAGGACAGAATCCTAATTTAATTTTTTTCTTTTGATTAACGTACTGTGCTTTGTTGTGTTTTGTAATTTTTTTCTTTTGATTAACGTACTGTGCTTTGCTGTGTTTCATTTTCTCTTGACAGATTATGGTGATAAACTGAACACTGAGCTGGGAGAAAAGTACAAGCTGGATAAAGAAAAGTTCCCTATTTTTCACTTGTTCCAGGATGGTGACTTTGACAATCCCTTACCTTATAGCGGCCAAATCAAAGCCAGGGCTATTCAGCGCTGGCTGAAGAGTAACGGCATCTATCTGGGGATGCCAGGCTGCCTGAAAGAGTACGACATGCTGGCCAGCAAGTTTGTGAGCACCACTGAGAAATCAGAACGCCAGTCCCTCCTGAAAAAGGGGCAAGAGAGTTTAGAAAAAACAAAAGAAACTGAGAAGAAGTCAGCTGAGCAATACTTGAAAATTATGAGCAAGATACTGGAGCAGGGAGAAGAGTTTGCTGCTAATGAAGTCGTCCGAATCACAAAACTGATCGAGAAGAACAAAATGAGTGATGGAAAAAAGGAGGAGCTCCAGAAAAGCCTCAATATCCTTGCTTCTTTCCTGAAGAAGAATAATGAAAAAGACGAGCTCTAATATGTTGGAGAACTTTGTACAAGCTGTGAAACACTGTCAAGAGTCCTAACCAGTTCTCCTTATGCAAGCAAACTTCCCGCTGACTTCAAGAGAGCAGCAGATTTCCTTCTGGTATTCTCAGTTTAGAAGATCAAGAGGAAGACATTCCTTAAAAACACAGTATTCTAAATGTTGGAAAAATCACCTTAAAGCAAGATGCCAGTATTGTGTAATACTATTCAATAACAGCGTTAAAGCAAACCCCAAAAAAAGCACTAGATTGGCCTGCAGCACATTCCTGGTGGTTTTTACAGCTGTTCCCTGGCAAACAAATAACAAAATTCAGTCTCACATTCCATCTTACATGTTGTAAAAGGTACAGATCGGGTGCCCCACGCATCCCTACTTTCCCTGTTCTTAGTTCTTAGGCTCTTTAATCTACCCCTCCTCCTACCTTTTATTTTCCCAACAGGGCTCCTTCTCTGACTCTTGTTGTCCTTACCTGTTGGTGACTAAGAGACCCGGAGTTTCCTTTTACTGCCTTCTCCCTCAGTGGCTCCTGTCTCTGTTTGGCTTGGGTATCAGCCAGATGCTGGCAGGCATAGCCAAGACAGGTCCTCCACGTATCGGAACTTGCCCCTCATCTTCTGGCTGGAGCAGCTGTTTCAGCAAACGTCCTCCTGACATCCTTTGCCGTACCCTGACAGAGCAAGTGATTTGAGCTCTGAGCAAGGGCAGAGTCTCCTCAAGGTGCTAGTACACTTAGTCTCACCAGTTTGTGCAAACACATGTTTTTTCAGAGATAAATTTAGGTGAGTTTTCTTATGGCTGAAGAGCACATGCAATGCCTGCGCGTTTTGCCTGTCCTTCCCGTCCAAGCTTCATTTCCCAGGTTCAAAATAAGGGGGTTGAGACCAATAAGGACATCTGAAAGTCTCAAGCCATAGTTAACATGAACAAAATTATTTTCTCCAGCCTCGTCTTCAGAAGCAATTGACACTGTCAAAATAAAGCTTCATCAGCGTTTGGTAGCTTTAAGTATTTGAAAATGAGGTCTTGTAACAGGAAGCATAAGTATTTGTGCCCTTAGAAGCCCCGTCTATGTTATTTTAATGGCAATACCTGGCCCGGGGATCAGGTCAGTCCTCAAAACTTGATACTGCATGTGCTGTTCACGCTGTGTGGAATTCAGATGGCTGCTGGAAGAGGCTGTACTGCTGATCAGGGTTATGGAGAGTTGAAAAGAGAAAACACCTGAGTGTTTTACCTTAAGACTATGCTTTAAGCTAAGCAAAACTGATTTCTGTGGGAGCTTTGCTGCCTTTTGAATCCTGGGGTGGGTACAAGGAGCAGATATTGCTGCAAGATAAAATGTATTAATAATGCTATAATAAAAAAAAAATGGTTCCAATTAATAGCTGCTTGTTAAACTGCTTTCTAGAGAAACTGCTGCTGATTTCTGCGGCTAGCGGGGAAGGTAAAGGCTCGTCAGCCGGATG